AAATTGTCGTTAGACTCAATTTGTCTTGGTAGAATAGTGCGATGTTCTTCATCAAAATTTTCACTCGGGTGGTTTGTGTGAGAGTGACATCTAATCGGCTGAAAATGCTCTGCATAATCGCCACGTAAACCAACCAAAGATTCATCCGGACCCTGACTTCGTCGCTTAATTTCTTCTAGCAACTTCTCGTTGTAGTCTTGCGGCTGAAATTCTTCCCGCAGCAGTTTTGTCAGCCCAATCCCAATCAAAGACAGATGACCGGTAAGCCCTAAACTATAACAATGCTTTTCCTCTGAATAAATCAATTGCTGAATCAAAAAGCATTTCTAGTGACACATTTCTGGCAATACGTAGTTCATCTACCCGCTCTAGGAATGCACTTAGGGACATTGTATCAGACGGTTTCCCTGAGAACGTGATTCCCTATTTACAGACCGGACCGGAACCGGTTTGACATCTAATGACCAACAACTTTCAGAATTTTGTATTTTATTGTGTTTTGTTAGAATTAAGTTTTTTGTTTCGTTAGGAATATTTACACGGCGTCCGTTGCAGAGTCCGTTATTCGGACACGCAAATTTTTCTCCGAAAGTGATACACGCTATCGATTATTATGGTGTCACGCCAATATATAAAACCGCCCTGCACTAATTTTACTGAATCTTATCCCACTTCTGGGCGCGAATTAAAACACATACCCACGGTAATTTTCAGGTGTTCGATCTTACCGCGCTCGCGGCTCAACGCGAATTGCCTCAGACAAACCAACTTCCCACTATTATACTTTTTCTGGACGCAAACCTTTTTTACCAATCAGGTAACTGCGCACAACTACATTTACGGGCGCTCTTCCTCGAACGACCTAATTTCCACCGTAATTATTTGAAACTACACCCAGAGTTTTGGAAAGGCCCCAACTCTGACACCGCGAAGAAAAGGCTACACCTAGGGACACCACTTCCCTCTACAGAGGGAACCTAACATTCATAACTCCTGTCATAATAAAATTTAATCACCTGTCCTCCTGCACCACCTGAATCATTACACCACTCCTATATCGCCTACGGTTCTGTGATCTACACCATTCCTGGTGGTCTACTCCACGAAAATCCGAATTGATCAATCGTCAGGTATGTGTTTTATCATTCCCCACCCTGCCACATCTACAGGGCGAGATGATTCCCTCCTTATGTTAGCAATGAGGTTTAAATTTTTATTATTGGGCCGACATCACGCCTTATTCGAGTGGACAGGGTCATTCAGCGATTACACATACCGGGGTATTCGTAAATAGCAGACGCGTTGTCCCTTTGGAAACCTCCACAGCATTTTTGTACAAGTTTGCTTTCCAAAAATATTTGAGAAGACAATCTTAAAACTACAAATAATCTAATGTCAAACTCCGAAAAAATAAAAAAAATGTCATACAAAGAATCGAGCAAAGAATCTTAGAACCCGAGCCGCCCAGATGGTGTTCGCAATTTGGTTACTCTTGCTAGTATACCCAATTACCATTTTTAGTTTCTTTTTTTTTTTCATTATAGCGTTCACGCGTTTGTTAATACTCGCCAGAAACTGACGCCGTAACAATCACATTATGATTATATAAGGGGATCTGGTTAATATCACGTCTGCTTAAATAAAGCTATTAATTTAAAGATTAGTATTTATTGCACCCCGTCGAAAATACAAAAATATTTCCCAACTTTATTTTAAGAAATGAATGGATTCTACGTCGTATTGAAGTTAAACATTCGCCCATATGCGCTTTACAGGAGTAATTTATAAGCTACTTTTACATTTTTATTGCTCCAAATAAACTTAATCTGTTTTTCCAATAACCAAGCGAGCATTTCGAACGGGGAATAATTTATTCGCTTCTTTTGTCTAGATAAATGCGCATGTATTTGTTTACCTCTAGCGTATAATGGAATAATCGCATTATGTAACCTGAAACAATGGAATTACTCATTTAAACGCAACCTGTGGACAATGCCATCGCCACAGTTTGCCGCTTCTTTAATGAGTCACTATGAAAAATTTTACGCTTAAAAGTATGTTAGGAATTTCACATAATAATAAAGATTTGTCGGGAGTAAGTAACTTGCTAATAAACGAAGTAAACAAAAACATGGTGAGAAACTGGACTGGATTTTCTCAGCAAATCGCCTTTTAAGCAAAAGTGGTTCAAATTTAACCATAAACAAATTCATATATAACCTCATTATTGCTTCACTAATCTAAAAACTGTTTTATCTCTGTACAGTCGTGATATGCAAGTAGATAACGGCGGTCGTGTGCCAAGAAGTATTTACACGCAAACTTTTTTGGTTGGAAATTAATTTCTTGGTTTTTTTTGCAGATGAGCCAAGGATACGTTCCGGAGTTTGGGACGAAGCAATATGTGAGCGTCGAGTTGCGCCGCCGCCGCTCGCACATTCTAGAACACTTCAACATTCAATTTCGCAAAGGAGTTCTGAAGATAGCTGGTGTTCCGGATCAGACGCAGAACTGTCTTCGGAGGAGGAAAGTGACCGAAGTGCTGCCTCGAGCACTAGGTATTTTAATATTTCGTTTACTATCTTTTCAAAATTACACGTGTAAAGTCCAGCCTACCAATCGATTTGGCATGTTCTAGGTGAAGTTAGATATAAAGATACAGCAGTAAAATACAAAAATATGCATATGGACAGAAATATCTAATTTAGTATAATATTGATAAATGTAAGGCGCATGTTAAGTTAGCCCATTCTTTATAAAAGTTCTTTATAAAGTTCTTGATGTTAGAAAGAGTTTGCCCCCCCCCCCCCCCCTATTGCGTCAAAAGTAAGCTTTTTGTAGAGTTCTGAAAAACATCAATAGGTAGTTCTAAAGTTCTTGGTACCTAAGTCATTCTTTTAATGTTCCGAAAAATCGATGCAAGACCTCATAAAACTCAACCTTTCTTTAAATCAGGTATGCCCTATAACTTTATTATACGGAATGTTTTCGAAAATTTTACTGTAGTCTCGAGTTGACACGTCATATCAAAAAGTTAATTAGCGCATTTTCGAAAATATATAGGGTAAATATTGCGGGGCGTTTTGTTTGTCAGTGTCAATCAGTCCAATTCTGTAACTTTAAATAACCCTAGCAACTTTCTAATAGCAAAGATCATACTACACTGATCTTTGCTAATAGTGAAGGTAATTGCTAAATGAACAACATTTGTTAAAAGTGGTATTCTGTACTGACAAACTTAGCAATGTTGTCTAAAATTTTAACAATTCAATTGCTTGACTCTAGCAATAGGTAAAGTGCTGTTGTTAAGCCTCAACAAAGTGAATTTCACCCGTTTAAATATGGCAGGGGGATGCTTTGAATACGAATTTTTAAACGCTGGTTGAAGATTCAATTCTTCCCATAATTCATCTAGTTTTTTAATATCGTTTGGAGCAGTTTTTTCATGAACTAACATGGCATTTTTAGCGCATTTCCCAACGAAGTAGAGTGCGCTACTGCAGACATTTTCTCTGTCCGTCTGTCCGAGGTCTTAACTACTCCTACAGTTTTCAAGATATTTAGTTCGTTCATTTTGCATTCGGTAGCGTATAGCTCTGGCACCTGAGCATGTCCATTAACCTAGCAGAGCAAGGTCAGCAGAACACAATCAAACATATTGCATAATTAGGTGCTAATTAAGTGCCCTATTCTCCGAATTAAATGCTCCTTTTTTTTTAATTATTACATGTTCTGCCATGTTCATATGAACTCACCAGAGCAATACCTTAAAAACCCAAGAAAATGAAAAGTGAACTAACTATAATTAGGTACTAATTAAGTGTCCTATTTCCGAATTAAATGCTCCTTTTTTTTAAATTATGAACTTGTCAGAACATGTTAATATAAAAAAAGCAAAATTTAATTCGGGGATACGGCACCTAATTATAGTTAGTTCACTTTTCATTTTCATGGGTTTTAAAGGTAGTGTTCTGCTGAGTTCATATGAACCTGGCAAAACATGTAATAATTTAAAAAAAAGGAGCATTTAATTCGATAATAGGGCACTTAATTAGCACCTAATTATACAATATGTTTGATTGTGTTCTGCTGACCTTGCTCTGCTAGGTTCAAGGACATCACCTGAGCCAAGGAGAATCTCGACGATTAAACTACGCAATGTCAACTTTCCTATTTATAGATATTTTTTGAAATTTTAATCATAGATGTCTCTAGTAAAGATAGACATATCGCATATTGTAAACATCAGATGTGCTCATTCGCAAAATGCGCAACTGTCAAATTTCTTATTTATAGAGATATTTTTTTGAAATTTTTATAACAGATGCTTCTAGGAAGATAACCGAGCAGTTGAACCAAGAAAAATCTTGACAATTATACTCCGCATGCGCGTTATGTCCGTTTTGTGACCTTTTGGGAACTACTGATCAATTCATGGAAAATCCGCTAGTTACTCGTCTTAGGGCGAAAACCTTAGAAATGGGAACTGATAGAGAACCAGAACCCTAGTTTTCTTGTTCTTTTCGGTTTTTTACGTTTCCTAACAGGTTATTCTCGGGTTATTCGAAGTTGCTAGACGCGCCGGCAAACACGTTCTGAAAATTGATACAATATTACTCTATGATTGCCATCGGTGAATTATAAATTTTTAATAAGGTGTCGAAATTGAAGGCATTACGAGTGACGGTGGCGGTCATTTAGCCAGTACTGTGATAAAAGGGGCGAGGTTTTAGAAAATAAAAATAAAAAACAATACTCCATATATTTATACTTTTTCTGTTTTTTTATTAATAAATCAAGTTTAAATACATATTTCCCTCTTCCTCCTTTATTCCCCTTGTTGTAAATTAGCTCCCTACACTGACGATACGGGACGTTTTGGTATTTGTGACTGTTTACTACTTTTTCCCACCTATTAATTAACATATCACGTTGTTAATAATGATTTTTTTTTATTGCCATACTTTCTAAAAGACTAGAACCGTTATGGACCGAAAAAATGATCAGTACCGAACCGTTTTTTTAGAACCCAAAAGCGAACCGGAACCGTTATAAATATTTCCGCTTAAATATAAACAGAACCGGAACCGATATTTCATTTGGGTCCGGGTCCCTGGGATTAATGCGTTTAATTTTAGATCCAGTGACAACACTCTGTTACTATAACCAAAGAGTAACCATTCTTTGCTATAACTTCTCACTAGTTGGTAGCAATTTGACAAAGTGTAGGAATATTAGCAATATTGCTCAAGTTGGTAGTTATAGAATGACAAATTTATTATGATTGCTCATAATATTGCTAGAATGTTGTGTGAGCAATCTTGCTATAGTTGTAAGATTGCAAACTCGTTAGTTACAGAATTGGACTGAATATCGTAATCAAATCTTCACATCGATGAATTGTTGGAAAGGATCCAAAATGAGAGTTACTAGTTCTGGAACGCCCCCCAATATTTTTAAAACGAGTTCTTTTCCCGTTATGGAGTTCTGTGGTAAACCTTATGATATAAAGGCTTTTTCCTATTCGAAGTGCTAAAAGAATACTTAGGGGTCATTTTTCGGGTAAAATTTGTCAATGTTGATTCATTATTTTTGCTGTAAAATGTACATTTTAGTAAACTATAGTCAAATTGGAAGATTTTATTTCGGGACATTGTGACAAGGTCTTTTGCAAGGATGTTTTGCGGAACTATATTAGTGGTATCAGGAACTTTAGAACTATTGATGATGTTTTCAGACTCTACAACAAAGTTTACCTTCGACTCATTGGGCGGGAGTGCCCCCCCCCCCGGACTTTGTCTAAGATTTATCAAGAGAAAAAGAAAAAATAAGCTATGTTGCCATTAAAAAAAATTCAAGATGGCGGTCACATTAAAAAAACATGTCTTTTTTCCTTCTTTAAAAGCGACCCTGTATATATACCGACAGATACGTCTGATCCATATCATTCATGTTCCCTTTGAGAGTGCCATCTTTTGACACCCCGTTTTCAGGATCTGAAGTTTTGACTCTATCGACGGGTACGTAAAATAAACTGACTCAAGCTAAGCATTTCGCTAGCTACTATTAAATAAATTTTGATTTTCAAATAATGTTTTCGCCAAAATTATTATGCCAATGTAAAAATTTGAGCATAAATATTTGATACGGAGAATGGACCTTGCTTTTTCTGAAATGGTTAAATTTCTCGCTTTCTGCACAAGACTACTTGATTGCAGACAGTAAAGAAAAATCGAAATAGGTATCGAAGATTTCAGTAACATCCCAAATTCTAGTACTAAAGTCGTACGCTCCCTACCAAGTGTCCATGTGTTTTTAGTTTCTGGGCTAACAAAAATCTATCGAAAAAAATGTAAATTTTCATCTCTCACGGTTAACGCAAACTTTCTTTTTAGGGCAAATGGCCAACTCCGCAACACTTTAAATAAGGCTCGTACTTTATGTGATAAATGGAGAAGCAGTGGAGGAGTAGGTAGTAATAATCGCTTATCATTAGACGGAACGTTAACAGGAGATGCTTTACCGCCAAATTCCATTAACCAAGGGCGGCTGTCGAGGTGGTTTTCGATCAGGAGAGGTTCGGCGCATCAGTACGACATTGAAAACACGGATGGCCCGAAACAATCTACGAATCAGAATAAGATGCCGTTACTGCCGGAGGTGGAAGAAGAAGCGTTTCCGAATTGTACATTTCAACAGAGACGGCAACTGCCGCCCACATTACCTCCCCCGCCCATTAACCTAACGCAGCAACAAATCAAACGAAGAATGATTGTGGCGGCTATTGTACACAGCGAAAACTCTTATGTGGCAACTCTTCAACGACTCGTTAACGTGAGTACTTCTGGTTTTAGTTCGTGGTTTATCCCATGCCCTTGTAGGACTACAAAAAACCACTTGAAGAAAGTGTACCCCCCATTCTGAGCGGTTCCAAAATCATTACACTCTTCCATAGGCTACCCGAGATTCTACAGTGCCATACGTTATTTCGCATAGCATTGGCCGAGAGCGTTCGAAATTGGGATAGGGACGAAAAAATTGGAGACGTGTTCGTCGCGTCGTTTTCAAAAGCAATCGTTTTAGATATTTACTCGGGATTTATTAATAACTTCTCTATTGCTATGGACGTGGCCAAAATGGAAGCGAAACGAAAATCGGCCTTAGCCGACTTCCTTAAGGTAACCTTCATATTATGTTTGCATTTTTAACAGCTCTATTTTTAGGTCAAGCAGATCAGTTCCCATGATCGCTTATCGTTTTTTGGGTTAATGGTTAAGCCGGTTCAACGATTTCCACAGTTCATTCTATTCCTTCAGGTGAGTTCGGTTCGATATTCGATTAGATATTAAATGTGATTGTGTGTGTAATTTAACCCACCAATCATGGGCAATTTCCTTTTAATAATATTCGTATTTGTAGTGAAAGAAATCGATATTTAAATTATCACATTGCTCTCGTTTATTTTTCAACAAAATTATGGAAACACCCTGTACGCAAGTTGTTTATTTTTATTCTCGGTAAGAGAAGGGTATAGCACCTAAATCGATTTTATAAATTGTGGAATTCTGTTAGAAGAAATTACATTGTTTTTTGCCGCCCTGTATTTGCCACAATGAACGAAATTATTCCAGATTTGTATAAGGGTTTTGCCTTATATCTTGATATAATTGTTATTTTTTCTGTTTTCATTTGGTTGCGAGGGAAAGCTAGCGACTGCGACTATAAACTGGCGAAATTTAGTGACCTATAACACTTTTTTCTACTCCGGGCACGTCGGTAGTTCAAGAAACATATCTCAGTTTCGAAACTTTTTCCAATTACCATACTTTACGAGTACGCGTGGAAAATAGCAGATATTGTTTCGATTTTAAATGTTATCTCTTACTTGCCCCTTCTAAAGTCAATAAAATTTGAGGAAACAATAATCAAAAGCTATAAATTAAATGTTTACATTATGTCTATAACGATTGTTATTATAATTATTATAATTGGTTCACCAACTTCTCGCACTTTATTAACATCAAGCAATGAATCACTCCTACGCATAGCTTTCATGGAAAACAAAACCGCGAATTCCCCACGGACGGTAGTAGTTAATATTTTGCATTGCATTATCGGTGAGCTGCACCTCTGTACGATTCTGTTACATATTAATTCCAAAAGGAATCCTAGACACCAATGCCCGTGCACCCTGTATAGTCATCATAAGTGTACTTTCATCATCTTGAAACTGGTAATCGTCTTCAACCAGATCAAAGAGAAAGCTGGGGAAGCACATTCAATTCGTGAAAATGATCCAACAAACAAACATCTGAATGGAATTGTTTACCGCACAGAAGCGCTAAATTCGCAAAGGTAGATGGGGATGGTCGACAGATTCCTCACCGACGCAGTCACAAGAAGAATACTGAAAACTTGATGCACGTCTTTTGGCGGAGTAACAGTGCGATAAGGGCCGCAAACTGACGCAACAGACACCGAGGATGAATATGAGATTTACCCAAGTTTGAAGACGGTTGTTGTTTCGTATACCTACCAATCTGAGTGAGAGAGTAACACAAACGTAACCGAAGTCGTATCACCGTACGCAGAACACGGAGAATCTTCCAGGATACCGAATGGAACAGCTATATCTACAACTACATGATCCACTATATACACACCAGACCGTATCGACATATGGCTACCAATCCTGTTGACCAAGCAGCAGGATCAAGTGGGATGTGAACTACTGCGTCACCGTGCCAAAGAAGTACGACCCACTGCACAGGCCCACACCACCACCACCAGCACAGTACACAGAACATCAGCAACTACATCCTGCCACACACAATCCTCCCACTCCACCACTTACACTAAACGAACGCGTACCATATCCAACTCTTCTTCCGGTTCCGCCATGTCTCACCACTCAATAAACCAAACAACTACTTACCGCTATTGCATTCGCAATATTCCCAACGCCATCACCTCCCAAAAGCAACTCCACAACTACATCCTCACCTTTAACCTCCCTCTTACAAACCTAAAATACAACCACAACCATACAGCCCTAATTGAAACCAAACTCCCTGTTGCTTTCGACCTCTCCAAAAAAACTCCAACACCTATTCGGCGATCCCAACGTATCCTTCACCCAACTGTCCGGTCCCAAACCCCAAACCCACACCCCTAAACCACCATCTTTCTCCTGTGCCATCCGCAATGTCGACCGAAACATCACGGAATCCGAAATCCTACAATCCATTAATCTCCCTAGAATTACCCGCGCTCTGCGCATCATCTCCCGAGCGACTAACCTCCCCACCACCTTTGTACGTATCATTACCACTAGCAAATCCACCCTAGAACACCTCCTCCAACACGGTGTCTGCATGGTCAGCAGACACTACCCTTGTGAACCATCCCACATTCCAGACCCTACTCCTAAGTACTGCTCCTTATGCACCAAAATGGCCACTTCTCCTCCGAATGCACTACCCGCCTCCAAATCTGTCCCTCCACAAACCCAACATGTGTAAACCCGACACCCAACCCAAGTGCAACAACTGCTCCGGACCCCACCCCCCCTATTCCTTTGAATGCACCAAACGTAAAGAAATCCCCAGCACTCCCGCCGAAGCAGCTCCACCCAAACCCGCCCACACCCAGTCCGTCTCCTCCGAATCCTCCTCACTTCCAGAAACAGCCTATTACCTACGCCAAACCGACTTCTTACGAACCATAGCCCTTACCTTCATCCATCTTTTCCCCGACCGCAGTTCGGAGGTCATCCATGCAATCGACCAAGCGTGCCAAGCATTCCTTAACCGAAGAACCTGAGCATCCTTCTCCGGAAACGTGGTAGCGTTTTCCACACCCTACATGGTGATTTCTTAATTCCGTAATCATAGATTTCGTCGTCGGTACCGTTAACTCCGGTGGCGTACGCCGCAAACGCCTCCTCATAAAAAACCTGCACTCCGACCAAATACAGATCCTCTCAATAACTGGAACCAAACTAACTTCCAAAACTGATCGCTGATCAGAATGGGCGTCTCTGTATCTCTCCAAGACAGTAAGGACGTCATGTTTTAATAGTCCGATGGTGATTCTCTTGAAATTGTATGATCCACAGGCTAAACGCCCTGAAAGTCAAATGAGATACTACCGTGCGTGCATGTGGGAGGTTGTTGGGTTGGCGGAGGAGTTCGAGGGGAGGGTAATTGTGATGGTTGTGCTGAGGAGGAATGAGTTGTTGGGTTTTCGATTTTGGTGGTTTTTGTTGTGGGGGATTCGGTGGACGAGGAGCGGGTTTTTTGGTCCCGAAGGACGAGGTGCAGAACAGCCGGGGCGAACCATGGAAAAATTCTGTGTAATGATGAGTAATGGCCGGGGTGCAGAAACACCCCGAGGGTGTAATGGGTGGTAAAAACGGCTAATCAAGGGATAGGTTACGAGAGCGGAAATTAAAAAAAATAAATAAATTGATTTCACCTTTCTCGCAGCAGCTGTAGACCGGTTGGTCTCCGACTCGGCTCCGCGCGACTGTTTGAAACAGGGACGGCTCTGCGGGCTCTGCTGGGCTTCTGCGGGACTGGTTACTCGGCGGGTCTTAGAACAATGCGAAACGATCACTTGGTCGCGAACTGCGGCTTTCGTGTTTCTTGCTTGGATTACTTTAACTACCCTGGCTTGTTAAGCGCTTGTTTATCTGCCGGCGTCCTCTTACGACGATTGCGTCTAGTATTTGGTGCTCGTTCTGTCGCGTGGCTCGCTCTCGTGGGAGTTTTCGGTGTTCAGTTAGTTAAATTTCATTACGATCATGGGATAGTGATCCCACACTTAATGTAGGACACATCACTTAAGAATTTCAGTTTAAAAAATACAATTTTAAAATCTCGATCGATTGCCCACGTACTGATCGTAGTTCTCCTCACATTTAAACGGTTGTACAAGTATTTACGTGTTATATTGCAAAAAGTAGATAAATGCTCAAATTACATTAGCAGTGATCTGACCACTGTAACATCCCGTCATGTGATAGTGATCACGTACTTAATTTGAATTACGAGATGCAATCCGCGACCTTGTTTAACAAAAATACGAGTATTGAAAGTAAAATGCCCAAACCAGCAAACTTTGCTGAGTGAAACGATTCCATTCTATATAATCTCTGTTGAAGCAAAACAATTTTTGAAATTGAACCATTTTTCAGGATTTACTAAAGCACACACCGCAAGGGCACCATGATCGAATGTCCCTACAGTTAGCTTTGACACAGTTAGAATCGTTAGCAGAGATGTTGAACGAGCGAAAAAGAGAAGCGGAACAATTTCAGGCTTTCAAGGAGATGCTGCGAAATATCAGCGGGAAATTCTCGGCGCGTCCGCTTTCGGATAGCAATCGATATTTACTAAGAGAGGATAATGTTACTCAGTTGGTAAGTTTACGTCGATGGTCTTAACGTGAAAAATGTAACTATGTACATTTTAGGAATTCAATCATTGTGGTATGATAACGAAAACGAAAAGTCGTAGACTGTTACTATTAAATGATTTGGTCGTTTGCGTGTCGGTGGCACCTAAGGCATCCGACGATTTTGGTGCTAGTGAAAGGTTGAGTTTGAAATGGACGTATCCCGTCTCGGAGATTGAAATACAAGACACCAGCACATCTCCGACGCTGAGTCGAATATTAACCGCCGGATTGAATCGGGGCGGAAGTTTAAAGTCGAACAACTCGTTCGACGGATCTCAAACTCAAGGCGCCGATAACCTGTGTTCCGAAATGAGCAACCTTATGCACGATTATGAGGTGATGAGCCGAGTCTCTGATTTAATTGGATCGTTGAAAGGCTGTTATAAGGAAATGTCGGTTGAAAATACGAAACGCATATTGCATCAGATCCAGTGTTCTATTCAAACCAAAGATGAGGAAATGGCGTGGGTTGATTCGTGTTGTTTACAACTGGTCGCCAAATCGAAAGGGAAGGAGGAGGTGTTTACTTTCCAGACTGATAATCCAGTTGTCAAGAAGGAGTGGATTACGGAACTGAGACTAGCGCAGTTGGCGTTAGATCCAAACAATTCGCCCGCGTGGGAGGTGCCTGAGCAGGAGCAGAGGCCCTCGACGAAAATGCCGTTGTTTGTTCGGTCGCAGTGTGTTTTCAAATCGCAGCATCAAACAGAAGTAAGTGTTACGAAACCTTTTAGTTGTTCAAGGTTGTTTAAATCTGTAATGGTTGCAGGTTCGCTGTGGTTGTTTTTATACTGTCACCTCCGCGAAACCGACTCGAAGGCGTGGTCGAACGCAGAGTTATTTATGGGTTTGTACATCAGATGGAGCTAGTAGTCACATCACAATCTTATCTCAACATCAGCAACACGCAGGCTCTTTGAAGGACATTGGTTCGTTTTCGTTGGTCGAAACGCAAGTGACGGCGATGGAATTTGTTAAGGGATTCTCACCGCCTTGTTCCGGTTTGGCGTCCGATGTGGTTTGGATGGGTACCGATAGTCGACGGTTAATTATTTACGCGGCCGACGAACCCGAAAAGCAGGAGGAAGTGGGAAGTACGGTCGTGCCTGATATTATCACTCAAATAAAGTATCACTGCGACGGCGTGTTCGTCGCGTTAGGTAATGGATTGTTGTTAATTTTTAAACGAAATGTGATCGACGGTAGCTGGTTAATAAAAGATCCGCACACCATAAATTTAGGAAGTGAATCAGTTTCGAGCTTGCTGCCGATTAATGTGTGTTTATACGCCGCGTGTGGCAAAAAAGTGTGCGTTATCAATGGGGTGACGGGCGAAGTACAAAAAAGTTTCAGTATTCAACACGAACATGTAGGCAATGTGAATTTAATGGCGCACAGTGGAATCGGTTTGTGGATTTCGTTAAAAAACTCTAGCACTATATGTTTGTATCACACGGAAACGTTCAAACACTTACAGGATATCAATATAGCATCCAACGTGATGCGAGTCACTTCTGGTTCGTCTACAACTTGCTGCCTTAATAATTCCAGATCTCAAGTGAACGTCACCGCTCTATTGGCGTGCAAGGGATTGTTATGGGTGGGCACCAACGTCGGAATTAGCTTGACTATACCATTGCCACGGCTGGAAGGTGTTCCAATCATAAGCGGGCGAGTGAATATATCGTACCATGCTCATTTTGGACCCATTTCATTTCTATTAGCTTTACAACCAAAGAATTATTCAAACACTTCGTCTAGATTTGCGTCAAAAGACACTAAGGAGGATAAGCCGGACGCGGAATTAGAAGCTATCGTCGATAGTAAATTAAATCAGCAACCAAAGATGGAAAAACAACTATCCGATTCGGCGGTAACTAGCAAATTAAAACAACAACTCGCCAGCAGTCCCGTCGTACTTCGACGCAAAAAGTCTAAGGAAAACGACATGGTTCGTCTATCGAAAACGCTCCCGCGCGGTTTAGGAAACGGCGGATCAGTGTTTTCCACTAGCTCATCATCCTCTCACGGTTCCGGCGATACCTGTGACGTATATGGACTGTACGGGGAGTTGATGTACATTAAAGATTACGAAGGCGACGAGAACATCTTGACTGATCCGATTTACGAATCACTGCGCCGTAGCGATCCCGAGTTAGCCGCCATTCCCGGAAAGGTCAGCACTTTGGACCGTAGGCTCAAAATGAAGGTTAGCCGGCCGAGATCTTTAGACTTATCAAATTGGTCCGTCGATTCCAGATCCTCTAGTTTGTACACATCGTCTGGAAGCGAGGAAAGTATGACGGTTAGAAATAATATCGGTCGTAGTATATCGCGTAATAATTCCAATGCCAGCCGACAATTAAACGATGTTTGTGAGAATAGTGTTAGTGGCGCCGAAAAGCAGGAACGCCAGTCGAGTACGAATTATAAACAAACGAGTACGAAAACGTTGCATTGTCAAAAAAATGTAATAGAAAGTAGTGCTAGACGAACGGTCATTACGTTAATGGGAGGTAGGGGGTATGTGAATTGGAGGCAGCCATGCTGTTCCTCTGACAAAATGAAAAACGCATTTTCAATACGAGAACCGAACAGCAATGATGCTCATATCGTTATTTGGGAGTTAAAGTTGTGATCTGTTGAGGATTTGTGATGAGGCCTAAGGTAGTTGACATGTTACAGGGTTTTATCATTGTTAGAAACCAAATCACTAAATAAATTATGTACGTATTTGCGTATGAAAGATGTACAGTTTTCGTATTACCCACTGTAAAATAATTACTTTGCACACGTTTTAATATTATTTTTATTTTATTTTTGGACCAAACTAAAAATTATGTAGATTAGCGTGTCTTTTGTAAGTATATTTATTTGTTACGATTTAAACCCTTTGGCAAAAGTTGATCTTTTACACTTAACTGTTCAAAAATTATGTCCATATATTAATATATGTCTTAAAATTTATTACTGTTATGTTAAGAGAACAAACTGTGTACCTTTTGAAGATATATTAAAAGAATATATATGTATTTCCGATTAATCAGATTTTTATTTCCACCAGGCGCATAATGACGTTATGAGAAAGAAAAAGGTTAATTTGCTCTGGAGATTGAGACCGAATGGTTTCGAGTTACTGCTGAAAACGAAGAAATGAAAGGTAATAAATAATTAAAACTATACAAATACCTTGCTGTGACTGTGACTCACGTTGGGCGTGCAAATAATTAATGCTGTGTGCAATGGCATGAATTCATTACACCACTCGAATAACACTTACCTGAGCCAGCTTAAATTTACACAAATTAACCCTTGTGACAAAACCCTCATTTACCTAAATACTTTAATTTTACTAAGAAGAATCTTGATATCAGACTGGGTTCCGAAATGCTGGAAAATCTAAACACTGACTTAACAAAAATTTTGTTTTGAACTAGAAATAATCCGACGATTAACCTGACGCAAGAGAGTAGTCAGTGTCCTTTACTTTCTGGAATTCAAATTGACACATAGCATCGCATAAAACATAAATTTTCATTATAGTTTTTGACGCCTGTACAGATGCGATAAAGCAGTAAAAATAACACACATTTCACAGAACTTAATGCAAAACGCACAACCGTGGACACTAACTTTCTTTGTTCTTGCCTTACTTTCTCAGTATTGATTCCAAAATGAAGACATCGTTGATAATGGCAGTTCGGGTACAAACTTTAACATTAACGAAAACTTCTCTTCTATGATTTGGTAAACAGCACGCGTTCTTTATCTTAAATCTGCACACCTGTGCCTTGCTTGTCTCATTAAATTTAGTTTCACCTTGATAACGTCGCCTTATCAGCACATGATAATTGATTTTCGTAAAAACGCAATACATTCTTTACACACATGTTGCTGACCTTACAATGTATAATTAAAGAAAACTGGAAAAGAGTAAGGACTAATTTTAGTTAGGGTGGTAATTAGAGGGTTGATTTTGCTGATTTTTTCACTGAAAAAAGTAGGGATCTACCTTTTTTCATCGTGACTCGCTTAATTTTTATGCTAAAGTTTGTTCTTTAAGAAAATGAAGAAAGACTACAAGTTTTTCTCAAAAAATACCTAGTTTTGCCGTTATTTGACCGTGAAACTCTGAAGCGTTTGACGAACAAGTATGAAAAACTCATACTTTACGGTCACGAATAACTGGAAAATTAACTTTACAAAAAAAATGTATAGAACACTTTTAGCTTAGAATTGAATTTTTTTATCTATATTCCTGTAGTCGAATTACAATACAAAATTTCCGCCCCCGAGATGGAGTGGCAACCACTCCCAGGATGAAAGCGCCCTTTGGCATGATATAGATTTTAATCCTTAGGCTATTTCCTACCTACTATTGTAGTCTACTTAACCCCCAGGTTCTACGCTAACTTATTCACACTACAAGAATGCGGAAATAAAGTCAACCCGGCAACGGTTAAAAATGGCCAGCCGATTGACTATTCCATCCCATATACTTCTCTCATATATATGTTCCATCCAATGAATAATTCCATCCAAAACTAAACAACTTCGTAAAATATAACACTGAAATTGTGCAAAGTTTGTTTAATAATGATCGTAATTATTATGGTTGTAAAAGCTCGGAAATAATAATAATAATAACACCAACATGCAAAAAGCCATACTATTGAAAACGGCTAACATCGTAAGAAGGTTTCTTAACCAATAACAAGCCACATCTGCATGACGACTTGGTCACGACCCGTCTCATGTACCACAACCACTATGTGTGAAAATAAACAAATAATAATAATGTTTATTGCTGTTAACATGCTTAGAATTGTGCATTTACAGAAGTCAAATAAGGAAAACATATTATTTAAATAGCACTTAAATCACAAATTTCGAATTCATAGACACTAGAAAAGGCTTTCTGTAAAAGGAAAGTCTTTAATTTAAATTCCAATGTAACTATGTCTAAGTTTCTTACTCTCAATGGTAATAGATTGAAGATCTTATAAGACATATGTAGAAAGCTTTTGTGAGTTTTCTCCAGACGATAAAATATTAAGTTCAGTTGCTCTCTATTACGTGTACCATAATTATGAACATCAGATCGTACAATTTGGTTGCTTGAGTTTGATTTAGCATACAAAACACAGTTCAGTAAAAATATACATGGCAAAGTTAACAACTTGAAGTCTATAAATAGCTTCCTACAGTTTTCTCTGTAACCGATATTACCTAAAACCCTAATCGCTCGTCGTTGTAAGGCAAACACCCTTTTAGCATGAGAACAATTGCCCCATATAATATTGCAATAATATATGTGCGATTGAATTAAAGATGTATATACTTGCTTTAAGGTGGTGTTTACATTGAAGAATTTGGAAATCACTCCCCGCACCGCCCGCAATATTAGAATAGTGTCGCTATCCACCACAAGATTCCGCGACCTACCATATTCGAACGTAAAAATAAACAGATAAGGCGCAACTGTCGAGATAATAATATACCGAGGACGATCGCTGTAATTTGATATCTGTAATTTATAGAACTGGGTTTTTAGCATTTGTATTCAATTCATATTCAGCTTTCTCGGTTGCTGACGTTTACCGCGATTAATTTCGTTGTAATTAATTGTATTACCAAGTGCTTTATCTTCCCAAATAAGTAAAAATACCTATTTTCTCTAAAAATAATAAATTGACCTTGTACGAAATTGAATAGGGAATGTCAAAAATTGTCGCAATTTTCTTTGCACCCTCGTTTAGGCATGCGCCGTCTTCGGTTAGGAATTTTCGAAAAATTGGAAAGAATAGTTGTGTCTTTGCTACATCCTATATGAGTATCTAGGATGTAGCACCGAATTCTACTATTTGCGCTTAGATCTCAAAAATTTGAAAATGATATAAGTTCTTAGCGCACCTTAGCAAAAATTTGTAAATAAAGCTGTAAATAATTTGGTAAAAACATTTCGTTCAACAGTGCATTTATTTTAATAATTCCGGGCTGCGGCGTATTCCATTTCATGCTCGCGAGCAAATTTTTGTACTACCTACTAAAGTACTAACCATTTCATTTTTAAACCTTTATAATTAAATAAATGAATTAGATTATAGACCTATAATTATAATTCATTGCAACCTCATGAAGGATATCTACGAACCGAAGAACTAGCGAAAATTTTGCAGGATTACATCAACCTCTGTATTATTTAAATCCAAGATTCTATTTCTAAATTGACTATCATGTCATTATAAAACAGTTATTAACGAACTCCTAGCGAGTTTATAATTTTGCGGTGTCTGTCCGTCCGTCCGTTAGCACATAAGTCATAAACGAATGGACCGATTACGGTGAAATTTTGCAGGTGGATTCTTTATCAAATTTGTAGATCGGAGTTCATGAATTGGTATGTAGACCAAAAAATAAAGTAGCCCCTTTTGACACCTCCGTTAGTTATGAACCGAATTGCATGAAATTCAATATGCGCATAGCTTTAACCATATAAAACACAATTCCAAAAGTTGAGCCTAATCGATCAGCATGCACAGTACCCTTTGCGCAGGGGCGGACTGGGTACTTACGGCCCAGGTGTAATTGCATAGGTTACCGGCCAATTTTTTTGCTTCATTTTAAAGTATTCCTTTCTCGAAAATCAATTAGAATATAGGTTTTTTTAATTGCAGAAGAGAAACGTGTTAATAATTTATTAATGGTGCAAGAAACTAAATACAGCACATACTTATAAATAGTGCTAGGATTTTAATGACGTTAAAAATCAGCGAAAATGCAAAATAAAAAATGCAATTAAGACAAAAATTTCGCAAAAAAGACAAAAATTTAAAAAGATGAGATTTTAAATAACAAATAAATTTATTGATGAAACTGAATAAGACGCAAAATTTCAGTGGTGGTTCATTTCCACTCTCTGCAGGCCAGTCGTAGAAACTAGGTATGTAAGGTACTGACTCACTTAGCGCATCCCAAAGAAATTTAATCCCTTTTAGTGGGCATTTGTTTGTGGACGACTTAAGCACGTTCCAAGAAAACGTTAACTAGGCATTTAGCTTACAATGGAGGTTCAGTGGTAGAGAGTTGGGCTATAAATCCGGAGGTCGGGTGTTCCAACCTGGGTTGAGGTGAATTTATCATCTGCAGAGATGAGAATTAGACCTTCTGCAGAGACACCTCTAAAAAGCATTATGCGGGTCACTCTGTAATTGGGCGCAAACCTGTTGAGGGCCCAGAACAAGATAGAGATAATAAATAAATACAATAATAAAACGTCTGGCATAAGAACGCATTGACGATAATGCTCTGTTGTAATGTAGGTAATATGAACTTGAGAGAGATATATTCTGTTTGGTTTATTTTTTATTACATATCATGAAATGCGAGTATCGGTACAGGAAATTGAGTTTTCTCGACACAAGTAGGTATATTTAGTGTTCCATCGCGTTAGTGCAGTGAATTTTTATTTCGTAAATTAATAAGTAAAGTCGTTACATATTTTACATAAATTCGTTTAATTATTAAATGTGGTCACTGTGAAAACTGTTATTACTTAAGTAGTTGCATTCACAGTTTACCAGGTAAGTAAAAATCACTGATCTCGAAAAAGAGTCGCGCGGGAAAGTTATAGTTTGTCCAAACCAATTTATTTTGATGAGACCTTTCATTAGAATACCGTGAAGGGTAGTACATGCCCCCCCCCATTTTCTGAAGTTTAACCACTAAAGGCATGCATATGCATATGACATCACTAATGACGTCTGCAGACGTCTCAATCGCCCTTTGTGAGTACCCTATTCCGACAATCTGTTCTTGAGGTATAAGGGAATATACCCGAACACGATAAGAGGTCGAGGCTATGGTTTGTAGAAATTAATTCCTGTCGTTGAGCCCTTTCATTAGAGTACCATGAAGGTAGTACATGCCCCCCCCCCCCCCCCCCATTTTGTATAGTTTAACTGGGCACCACTAAAGGTATGCGTATGCAAAATCTGATACCAATTGGTTATCGTATGTAAAAGATATGCTGCACGCTTTACT